CTCCCTTCCTTCCTTCCTTCCTTCCTTCCCCTTCGATCCCTCCTTCCTCCCCTCCCCTCCCCTCCCCAACTATTTCATACCTCCTCTACGCCTGTACGCCACAGACACTGAGAGGTCTCCTTATAACCCCTTATGCTTCTTTAAAACTATGTCCTGAAATACTGCAGGTAAGTTACACCTGACCAGAAAAAGGAAAGGGTCCAAGAAGACAAGCCCTGAGTACACCAGTCCTGCCCCATTCAGATACTCCTCACAAGCTGGATTTACATAAGCCAGCATTTGCTTGAACCATGGTTTACTAAACAAACTACAGTTCGCACAATGCAGAGCCATAAAGCCCAATGGCTAGGTTCGAGGAATGTGTTAGGATGCCAAGGATAAGCAACCTGGGGCCTTCTGGGCATCCCCAACTTGTTCTCCAACAATCTCTGCCAACTGAAGCTGAAGAACAAACCAAAATAACTCAAGGGCCTCGAGGGCCTAACCTTAGAGCTAAACCAGAAGCCTATAAGCTGCATTACGCTTAGCACAACATGCAAATTTACATTTTATTACTTTTTAACCTCTCTGGAGGGCACCCCCTCCTCTCCACCCCACTGTTCTTTCACCAGGCATCCTTACCCACCCCACTCCACAAACCTGTGGATTCCTCCTTAGCAGGCGGGGCCACCACCGAGGTCCCGAAGACCCCAGATTTCTGACCCCGCTGGAACCCGTCCCACAGCATCAGCCCAGGGGCCGAGGGAGGATGGCGAAAAAAAACCCGCTTTCCTAAGCTAATCTCCAAGACCCAGACTCCAAACATTTGTTCTGGCAAGCCTGTCTGCCCTTAAACACTACCATTCGCGGTGTTATGCTAACACACCAGCAAATAGCCTCCCTTGTTTGGTGGCACATCCAGCCGAAGACGCACATTCAGGCCTTACGTGCGCCACCTTCGTTGTTGTTCTACTGCAAAGAATGTTCCTTTTTCCAAAGAACACAATTCATCTCCTCGCAGGGAGGAAAAGAGACCTTTTATCCAAAGATGTGAGAAATCAGGAAAGACCAGTAATGGATTCAATTAAGAACAGCTCGGCAGCAAGAGTCAGTTACAATCCGAGCTTGCAGCACTAACTGTGGGAAAGACACGTTTCTGCCATCACAACTCCGGGTTGTCACAGTCCTCGGCCACCCACAGGCACAGATCAATTCCTGCGGGAAGGACCAGGGAGACTTCTGGCCAAAAAGGTTCCTTTTGCGTGTTTTTAATGCCTGCCATGCGAAGGACAAGATCCGGCCAAAGACGCTTTCACATCCCCCCTCCGAGATTTCTGAAATGTTAACAACACCGAGCTTGAACAGGAAAAAAATAAAAATGCTCCTAATCAGGAGGAAAAGCGGCCCTCGCTGCTTTCACCCTCAAACTGGTGGTGTGCAAATTTAATAAATAAATAAGTGGTCACCGCCAGCTGCTGTCCCCAGCGGGGCTTGCACAGATTTTCTCTCGCGTGCAGCCCTGAACTAAAGGAACCCCCCAAAAAGGGTTTGCGATCCGACCCGTGCCGAATCCAAGGAGAGAAAAGGAAGGAGGTGGAAGAGCGAAAGAAACTAATTCAGAGACCATGGCCTTGAGCCAAAGCAACTCTTAAAAAGCGAAAGAGCCATCAGGCCCAGTCTTGAGGCCTCGCTGCAGCGAAATGGTAGACCAGTTTCACTGCTATGTAGCTGTAAAAGAAGATCTCTCTCTCTGTTGCCCTCTAATTGGGGGGCGGGGAGCGAGAAATGTCAATTATTGGCTTTGTAATCTGCCTGGCATTGCAAAATGAGGGTATGCAGGGAGAAGAAGACTGTTCGTGACTTTGTAGGAAGAGGGCATGGTTCCAATCTGCTTTGAGCTGGGCAAGGCGCGTTAGGTTGGCATAGCCCTGGATATTTCTGCCTTGTTCCCCCATCTGGCCCCGCTGCTAGCTCAGTCGCCAAGTTTACAAAGCACATGAGGTTGTGGAGAATTGTGGCAGCAGGTTAGAAGCCCAGGCCTGGCTAGTCTGGCCATGCAACTTGCCAAAAACAGCAGGCCAGCACGAGCGCTCCAGGAGATACTGTGCTCTGAATTTCTTTCTCTCCGACCCGGGAGAGATGGTGCAAGCCAAACCTTGCTCACGTAGGCAATATCTACTGGTGATAAGCCTGTAGTATCCAAATTGAGATTCCTCATAGAAAAGTTGGAAAGGCCGACCTCCCCAAAATAAAGTTTCGAAGGAGAAATGTGCACTGATCAACCACTGAACAAAGTAAACGGGCCACAAGGAAGCCGACACAGCTTTTGGCTCGCAATTTGGACCAAAGGCACCAGATCCAGAGCAAGGAAAACATAATATAGCAAAGTCTTCCTCAACCTAGCATCCGTCCTGGGTTGAATTCTTGCAGAATTCCTACTATATGTTGCAGCAACGTATCTGGAAGGCATCAAGGGAGGAAAGACGGGGTAAGACAACACAGAGGGAAGTTGAGCGTGAAAAGAAGACAGACCTGCTTTGGGGAAGCTATTCCTGAATGATCAGGCACACGTTTTTCAAAGTTCTCCATTCGTGAAGGCAAGGAAAAAGTTTACACAGTCCCCTAGCCGAAGAGTTGGAAGCCCCGAGTGCGGGGCAAGGTGGCCCCTTTCAAACCCAACCCCCTTCTATTATCAACCTCCCCGTGCAAGAAAAAAGAAGTCATAAAATCCCACGCTTGCGTGTATTTATATTGGTGTGTATGGCCGCCCCTCTCACCAGTGTGACTCTGGGCAGCTCACAGGAATTATACTACAATCTAAATGCAACGTATATGAAAAATAAATCCATTTCCTCTGTGGACGAAGGGGCACTGAAGGTGAGTACATCGGATGCTTCTGCAAAGAAAGGTCTAAGGCCAGCCTCAGCGTTCATAAAAACAGCATCAGCTTTCCAAGCCCCAAGAGGGGAAAGAAAACTCTCTTGTGATCCCAGCAAGGATCCGAAAACCACCCGGCTACCTCCAGCGACATCTACCCCTGGTCTGCCTGTGCCCACAAACACAATCTAAGAGAACGGCCACCAGCTTGGGAAGATCTTCCAATGCGGCTCCTTTTCTCCTGCCAAAGAGGCTTCGGGTTCCCATCAGCCGAGAGACCATCGCCCACGGCACAGGAAGAGCTGGCTGCAGCCCTCAAAACCCGTGCAAACTTCTGGTGTAACTTTCTGAACCATTTGTTGCAGGCTCAAGTAAGCGTTATCATCATCATCGAACGAGAAAAGAAAGGAGGAGGAGGAGGAAGGGGAAGGAAGAGAAGAGAAGAGAAAAATGAAGGAGGAGGAAGAGGCAGAGGAGGAGAGAGAAGAGAGGGAGGAAGAGGAGGAGGAGGAGGAGATGAGTTTGGAGGAGGAGGAAGAGGGGAAGAAGAAGAAAAAGAGGAGAAGGGGGAGAAGAAGAAGAGGAGGAAGAGGAGGAGGAGGAAGAAGAAATAATAATAATAATAATAATAATAACAACAACAACAATAATAATAATAATAATAGCAGCAGCAGCAGCAGCAGCAGCAGCAAAACAAAGCACCGTGCAAATATTCCACACAGTCTTAGGCCTAGGAACAGGTTCAACTCTTAGAGTTGGGGAGGCCAAGCAGAGGTTGAAAAGCCCCTTCCTTTCTGACACATCAAATGACCCCCCCCAAATACCTACCTCCTCTAACTCATCCTTGGCATCCAGGCTGGTGTAGATCAGCAGCTTCCCTCCTCCTCCTCCTCCTCCTCCTCCTCCTCCACCACCTGCTGCAGCGGCTGCACCCCCTTTCCCCTTCTGCATCTCCATGGCGGGTGGGGGGGCAGGCACCCCTCCCTCCCCCTACAGGCGTAGAGCCCCCCCCTTCTTTTCTATACACCCCGCTTTAATTTCTCCCGAAAAAGGGCGGCGAAGAGAGCAACGCCTCCCCAGAGA